CTCCCTTGTTGGTCCAGATAATTAATGTGTTGCCCAGCATGATAACAGGCACTGAGGTTACCTTCCCCAGACCAAGTACAAGAACATCAGAAGCATCCAGTAGGGGTGAAAGGGTTAACTTTCCTGCTGACAACACCAGAGCCACTGGCCCTTTTTGCTATCAAACAATAATTCTGTGGGTTTCAAAGCTGATTCACACATCGGCCTCAAGTCCTGTAGCTCAGTGGTTAGAGCACTCGCATCGCAAGCGAGAGACCTGGGTTCTGGCAGGGCAAAATGTTGGTCAAGATTCCTTACTCCACACACCTCTGTCTACATAGCAGTAAGTAGGAACCTAATTGTTAGTTGTTTGGTGGATCGCTTTTCTGGGGCTAATAATTCCTTAAAAATTTTTTTTTTTTAAATTGGCCACTTCATTCCACGACTGTTTGCGGGACGCTGTTGTACGCAATTGGCTGCTGTGTTTCACCCACAACATACAGTCAATTCACTTTACAGTATATTCTGTGAAACGCTTTGAGACATCTCAACGATGTGATAAGACTCTATATCAAATGCAAGGATTATTATTATTATTTGCAATTTTCTTTCCAATTGTTACAAGCATTGGGGGCCGGTTCCATAGACGTTGGCTGCTGGCTGGTCTCTCGTTTCCCTTTTCAAGTATGTGTTGAGTTGGGGGAGGAGGAGGGAGGGATATTATAGCTGATCCCACCTCCCCTCACCCCTACACCACCCCTCCCCCATGCTCGGGCCCCAACACCTGACTGTTCAGCGCTTTGGGACGTCCTCCCGACGTGAAAGGCGCTCTATAAATGTAATTTTGTTGTTGTTGATCCTGAGTGATATCTGCCCACAAACAATATAGCCAAGATTAGAAGGGACTCCTGTGGTACCCTTGGCCCGGGCCAACCCCACAAGTGCACTCTGCCATTGGAAATTGGACAACGACGAGAAACCAGAGTTAATCTTTCCGCCCTCGATGCCCCTGATGCTGTCTCCAGATGTGATCAGCCAACTGAGCGCATAACAGGAATCAATGAGATTGAGTGTCTGAGCCGCACAGCTGGTGAGATTCAGGTGGATGTGAAACCAGTCCTGGTTTCTGATGCCACCTACTGTCCAATCAAAAAATGCCAGACACAATAAAAACACTTCTATTGCCGGAATCATTAAAAAAAAGGGAAAGGAAAAGATATTTACCAGCGAGCAGGTTCAGACGAAGAACACTAAGAGTAGGAAGACGTGCAGAATTTAAACCGCTCACACTTCACTCCTTATTTTTGCCCACAAAGTACACAATCAATTCACTTTACAGTATGTTCTGTGAAGCGATTTGAGACATCTTGGACGTATTGAGGTGCTATATTGAATCAGGATTATTATTATTATTTGCTCAGCCGGCTTCGGCCTTCTGCGTATCCCTCGGCCCCTTCCACTTCACCAGCAGCTGTGCTGAGGCCACCACCGTCCAACTTTCTGGAACTCCCTGCCTCAATCCCTTGGCCCTTTCTTTGCCCATCATCAGATCACACCTGAACACTTTCCTCTTTGACTGTGCCTATGGACCCCTCCTTTCTCCCCGGCTCAGTGTCAAACTATGTCATTGTTAAGCCCTCCAAGACATTACTCCACATGAAGGGCGCTGTATAAATTCAAGTTATTGGAAAGTCAGTAACTGCATGTACAAAGAGGCAACTAATTGGTCCCTGACATTGTGAAATGCTGGAAAGAGTTTTTTTTATTGAAAATTGTGGACAAGGTGCAATAGGCTGAACGACCTTAACTTGTTCCATGATTTCTAGGAGTCCTGTAGCTCAGTGGTTAGAGCACTCGCTTTGCAAGTGAGAGACCTGAGTTCAATTCCAGGCAGAGGGCGAAACCTTGGGCAAGTTTCCTTACTCCACACAGAGCCTAATAATAATCCCTCCAAAACCAAAACCAAAAACAATAATAAATTGGTCATTTTCAATCTACGACTGTTTGTGGGACATTGCTGTGCGCAATTGGCTGCCGCGTTCGCCCACAAATATACAGTCAATTCACTTTACTGTGTGTTCTGTGAAGCGCTTTGGGATGTCCTCCTGACATGAAAAGCGCTATATCAAATGCAAGGATTATTATTATTATTATTATATTATTATTTGTGTGTGGGATATGCATTGTAATTTCCTTCGCTACAAATAGGTGACAGTTGTATCTTTATCCACCTTAGTGCATGACGCTTCATATCATATTGAGATGCAGTCATTATATCAGCACAAACACGGCCGCCTCTCTCCAGATTTAAATAACATTAAAACCGTGTCTCTTAATCTCATTTCTTATCTTATGGATCCTCGGTAACTTGCTGCATTGAGTGTGTAAGCAGTGACAGGGCCCAGCACACACTGGGTATTGGTCACACTATATATAGATCCCTCTTTCCTTTCAATCTGGAGATTTTCCCCAAATCCCCACATCCTCAGTAGAGTCAGAACAAACACCTTGTATTTATAAAGCGCTCTCCACAAAGACAAGATCAGACACTGAGCAAAGGAGATGTTGATACATTGGAGACACATGCTAAAGCACTAAATCAAACACAATGAACATTATTAGTTATTTAATATACAAACCAAATATGCTGACCTATCTATACTACCGTTTTAAAGAGATATTTCTATCACAGTCAAGTTCCAGAGGCTGTACTGTCACACGTCTATCTGAAGAATTCCCCATTGCACTTTTAAAAGTTTCAACAAGTTTGATATTAAATTTGAGTCCCACTCACTCACTCACTGAAGACAGGTTTCAAAGCTAGGAATATAAAGTGGTAAATATGAAGCAAATTGTGTCAACGAGGAGTTGTGAGTTATTACTGGTTTGTAAAACTTCAACAACTTTGACGGTATCGTTTCTCCCCCAAATAAGCCACCGTTTACCCCCAACCGCTGCCCTTTAACCAGCCCGACATTTACAATCGCATCAGTTTGTGGCTGGGATCCGGTGACGGCTTTTCTGTCGGGGCGAGCGCCAATTTACACATCTCCCTCACAGCGATCAAAGGGTTAATGCCATTTACTGCCTCAATGACAACAGGTGGGTTTTGAGGAGACAGTGCGTGTTACTGGCGCCGGGAGCGGGTCGGTCACAGCAACATTGTGGGAGCCGCACAGTTCACTCCTACCTCTTAATATACCCCGCCGTTCACTCCGACACCCCGACAAGAGAAAGGTGGGGGGGGGGGGGGGTAGGACTGTGTGTCACTCTGCCTGTGTTTGATACTTTCCTGGTGATGTGAAATATCTTTGCGTTTCTGAAGATCCAACCTCAGTGGGTGAGAGTGTGTGCATGTGGGGTAGGGTGTGTGTGTATATGTGTGTGTGGGGGTAGGGTGTGTGTGTATATGTGTGTGTGGGGTAGGGTGTGTGTGTGTATGTGTGTGTGGGGTAGGGTGTGTGTATATGTGTGTGTGTTGGGTAGGGTGTGTATGTGTGTGTGTGGGTGGGGTAGGGTGTGTGTGTATATGTGTGTGTGTGTTTATCTGTGTGTATAGGTGTGTGGGATAGTGTAGGGTGTGTGTGCATGGACGGGGGTGTAGGGAATGTGTGGGGGTGGGGGGTAACAGTCCTTCGCAATCTATTCACAATCCTGGTGCCTCAGAAACCATATTGGAGCCACCCTCTCAGTGCGACAAGCTGCGGATCGCCATGTATATTTAATGAGCGCCATTATTCTCCCTTTCAGTCAGACAAGAATGGAAAACGACCAACAGGCACCACAGATCCAGCTCTGTAGCCATCACTTCAACTCCGCTCCCTCAGCCTTCCTTCCCACACCAATCTCCCCAGCTCGCCCCCAATCTAATGTTCACCTTCTTTCCTCCACATAGTTCCAGACAGATCTCAGAAGGAAGAATCCGGCCGGGGTCCTTATCTGTGGTTTTCGCTGTTACTCAATGACAAACTTCCACCCAGAACTCGATCCCCATCTCCACTCCCCTGAAGTCTATTGATGGTATTTAGTCACAGCAGAGGCTCATCATTTATTTATCCATCAATTAGATTTCAATTATAAAGGCCGGAGTGAAACCCACTCTACCTGATCCTGTCTTTAAGCCCCCCATCCCCTTACTATTTCACCTCCAACCATTCAGTAAATTGACCCACCGAAAGGTTTTTCCGGGCAGGGGCAGTGTGCAACCCCCACAGGCCAGGAAACCGCTTCTCTGACCCTATTATTCTTTCCCTTTCCCACTCAGGCTCAGCATTCACCTTATAATAATAATCCCTGCATTTGATATAGCTCCTTATCACGTCATTGAAACTTTCAAATCGCTTCACAGGTTATACTGTAGTGTAGTGACTGGGTACAACAACTTGTATTTAAACAGCGCCCTTCACGCTGGAGCCCGATGCTGAGCCGGGGAGAGGGGGAAGGTGACTGGAGGCACGGACGAAGAAGAGGGGCTTCAAGCACGACCTAAAAATGGGGAGAGCGAGCAAGGTGAAGAGATTGAAAGAGTTCCACAGCTTTGTGGTTGTAAGCATAGCCGCTGATGGTAGAGCGGAGGGTCCGGGGGCCAAGGAGGAGGCCGGAACCAGTCGAGCAGAGGCAGCGGGTAGTGGTGTAGCGAGAGAGCAGGTTAGAGATTAGGGGGTGCCAAGGCGTGAAGGGATTTAAATACCAGAGTGAGGATCTTGACATCGATCCACTCTATGACAGGGAGACAATGTATTTTGTGGGCAAAACGCAGCAGCCAATTGCGCACAGTCATGGATTGAGTGACTAATTTTTTTTGAAGGGATTATTAACTTAATAACAGTCAGTCTGTGCTGCCACTCACCCCCTAAATAACTTTAATCATTCAGAAGAAGTACTGTGCATCTACAAAGTCCCGGGGACAGATTCACACCTTCATTACATTCAGCCTTTGCAGCCAAAATAACATGTCCCACAGTGTATGTGCTGGTGGGTAGGTAATAATACAAGAGAATCGCAATATCACATCACTGAAATGTCACCCAAAAAAAGCATTTTCCTTTTAATGGACCAAAGCGAAGACATACATCCCAATGCCTATAGTGTGTGAGCACGGATTCTCTGCTCTGTAATACTGGGTGGGGGAGCACATTGTAAACTAAACTGTTGTTTAAATTGTTCCCATCTCCTACTCCAACAAACCACCTCTACAGATATCACAATGCAGTCGAGTTAACAGAAACCTTTCCAGACTTTCCGTTCCGAAAAAGAGAGTACATTCTAAAACCCGATCAGCGCTCAAAGGGTTAATGTCGGCCGCTCTGCTCGAAGGCAACTCGATCGTGAGTGAAATGGAAAAACAAACAGTTCGGCTCGTGTGTGGGCCCCACGCGGTGTCAGCACATCAGTAACAATAAGGCAGAGCGAGAGAGACCCACTTTTAACACTGGCCATATTGTAGGATAACAAGTCACACAGTAAGGTTGGTGTTAGAGGGCGCCCACAGCCAAAACATTTCCCATCCAACAATCCCACACGGTCTGTTGGTTGCAGTTTCCAAACGACCCGCTCCCCTGTGCCCATCACGGGGGTGGGGACCGGACAGGATGGGCTTTCGCCAGCCACATTATTTCTTGACAATCTGGATGACATCCTCGTGCTCCATCACATGAGTCAGCCCCACTCGCTGCGGGCTGTACTTTGTGCTGGTGCCCTGAGATCAGGAACAAGAAGGGGAAATTCTCATGAGCGCAACAGTATTGTCTACGAATCAATATCAATAGATTTCGAAGAGTTTTTTTCCCTCTGGTAATGGAGTGGTGTCATGCTTACCCAGACGAGAGCGTACTTGAAGTGGCTGGCCAGCGTCCGGTGAATTCGGTGGCACTGCGGCAAGAAGACAAACGCAAGACAAGTTTAACCTTAGCTCCCTGCCCCACACACAGCTCGGTCCTCTCTAATCTCAGCCAAGTCAGAAATCAAACTTTAGAGAAGAGAGTTTCTCTGCAGTCGGTGTCCTGCCCAACAACACCCCCCCTCCACCTCCCCGATAAATGTGCTCATTGACTTCAAGGCTGTTTGCGGGACGTGCTGTGCATAATTTGGATTGTTGCATTTGCCTACAAAGTAGTCGCAGTATATCCTGTGAAGCACTTTGAGAAGTCCTCCCAACGCTGTAAAGAGTGTTATTGCTTATATTACTATTATTGCTAACCTTCAGCACACGCTGCCTTTACTCACTGACACCCCACCCCACCAGGGACCTGTAATTTGGGTCTCAGTTAAGACTTTGTCGTAGTGAGAAATTTGACCCCCAAATAAACTGAAAGGCACAGCACACAGTAACTGCTAGGGATCAGTTACATGACACAATACAACAGAAGCAAGTTCAGAAAATTATTTTCCTTACCACATGTTCAACTGAAGCTGCTCTTCGCATTATTATAGCGCCTGAGAAATCCGGTCTTTCTGTTCAATAAAGACACACGCGGGTTAGACAGACATAGACAAGTTACCATAGAAATCTGCAGCACAGAAGGCGGCCATTTGGCCCTTGGTATCAATGCAACAACTTTGAGGGGTTACTTACCTCCCCTCTTTTTTGTGTAGATGCAGATGAGAGCGAGGTATTCCCACAACATTTCCATCAGATAGTCCAGGTTCAGCTTCATTTCACAGCTGAGCAGAGAGGGACAGTGAGTACGTGTAACCATCACAAGGACAAGCTCGTGCTCACTTCTGATGATTCACACACAAACCTACAGCACAGTGTAAGACTAACCTGCCGCCTGGCCCTGGGATCTTGGAAAAGGAATACGAGCGTTTCGATATTTTAAATGAAAGTTTTATTGATCAAGGTGAGGCGATGTCTGCATCGGGGGACTGAGTAATTGTGACTTGGGCTCCCTCGAGTCAAGCCCAGAATTAGCTCATGATTAGGAGAATCTCTGATTCACCCAACAATGTCCTTCAACCCTCAAACCTCCGAAGAGCAATCTCTGCCTCCTTTCTCCCATTTCACAGCGCCATCTCCATTTCCCAACCTAGTAACTTCTGGCCATTCTGATTAAGGTTATTATCAGCTGCCCCCCCACCCCACCCCCCACATACACTATTTTATAACAAGAACAACTGTGAACTGGGTCATCACTAGACAGTGAAAGCCTTCATCTATACTGGAGCTGGATTTAACTAAACTTCCGAACTTTATAGGCTATTGTTCTGGGCAGATTGGCCACAGTCACCAACAGGACAATAATTACCCTAGGGAGTTTGGAGATGCTGACATCATGAGTATTATATAAATGCAAGTTCTTCCTATGTGAAGCATGAACTCCTGATACTCAATCCAAGGAAACAAACGACTGGGAGCATTTTTTTACTCAGCAGATGGCATGTCACACACCTCCATGGTGTAAACGGGAGGAACGTGCAGAGATGTACCTGATCACCACGCTGTGAGGCTCTCTGGCCAGGCGGTCCACTTCCTCCAGGGAAATCTGGTCGATTTTATTATAAACCTTGTTGTTAAAAAAGACAAAAGGAAAAGTTAAACAGAAAAAAAATTGTGAGAACCGATCCAAGTTAGTTTCCTATCAAAACTACTCAGAATTTGTTGCTCTCGTCGTATTGATCATCTCTTAACACGCAATGCACCCTCCCCTACGCTCCATTACTCCCACACTTACCGGCTGCATTAAATCGCATGAAATTACATCCTGGCTCGGTGACACTTGTCTAAGTCTTGATCCATCGACACATGCTTAAAAAGAACTTCCATTTCTCTTGATTCAATGCATTTCCAGTGCTTGCTGGTAAGCATCCGGCGATGGGTCAAGATGCAATGAATCATGGAAAATGTAGTCTTGACCCATCACTGCAAGCACGCTTACAGTTTCAGTGTAATAATAATAATAATCCTTGCATTTGACATAGCGCTTTTCACGTCTTCTAGACGTCCCAAAGCACTTCACATAATATACTGTAAAGTGAATTGACTGTATATTTGTGGGCGAATGCGGAAGCCAATTGCGCACAGCAATGTCCCACAAACAGTCGTGGATTGAAAATGACCAATTTATTATTGTTTTGGAGGGATTATTATTAGGTGTGTGGAGTAAGGAAACTTGCCCAAGGTTTCGCCCTCTGCCTGGAATTGAACTGAGGTTTCTCACTTGCAAAGCGAATGCTCTATCCACTGAGCTACAGGACTCCACAACTATAATAAATAATCCTTGCATTTGATATAGCGCTTTTCACGTCAGGAGGACGTCCCAAAGCGCTTCACAGAACACACTGTAAAGTGAATTGACTGTATATTTGTGGGCGAACGCGGCAGCCAATTGCGCACAGCAATGTCCCACAAACAGTCGTAGATTGAAAATGACCAATTTATTATTGTTTTGGGTTTTGGAGGGATTATTATTAGGCGTGTGGAGTAAGGAAACTTGCCCAAGGTTTCGCCCTGCCTGGAATTGAACTCAGGTCTCTCGCTTGCAAAGCGAGTGCTCTAACCACTGAGCTACAGGACTCCAAAGTCCTGTATATAAGTTGTATATAAGTTGCAAAATTACAAAATATTTTAAAATTAGTTTAAACACAAGATTAGCACGTCAGAAAGGGCAGTGCTGTCTCATATAGAACCCTACATAAACTACTTACATAAAGGCAAGGCATGTGCACACGGTTCCCAACTATGACATCGATAAATTCGTCAGCACTGGAATCCTCCCTGAAGAGAATTTCAGCATTAAAGATTTCTGGGATGGAAAAAGTGAAGGACAAACAAAGAAAACCTACACACACACATAAGCCCCCACACACACATTTCTCGCTCACACTCTACACTTGTACAATCAGCAGTCATCAATCCAGACTGTCATTGGACAGGGATATCAGTTGGTTACCTCTGTGCTATGAGTTATATCCCCAACACACACCAAAACTTCCAGGTTTCTCAAACACACACAAACCACCAGCAATTCCTTGTAGTAAAACATCGGACAGCTGAATCCTGAGGAATACAGAGTTAGGGTTAGGTCTTTCTCCAAGCTGCCAAGGATACTGTACTCGTGGAGGATGAGCTGAACTAGTTTCTCTGAACATTGAGTTAACGGAAGTGTTGAGTTGAAGGAAATGCCGCCTCCTTTCTTTGGCTAAAAGTAAGAAAATGAAGAAAGTTTCACAAAGTTTCAGAGTTACTGCTGACCAGTCTCACTGGCAGCTCAGCTCCGCTCCTAAAGCACAGTATTTCCTATCTTACCTTGAAGTAAATGTTGGGCTTGGGCTTGTTTAGCCGGATACCTACAGACTCCAACTCCTTTTCAAGTAATCTCCTTGGAAGAAATAAAAATTGTTCAGTGTTTATGTTCATTGAGGTGGAAAACAAGACTTAAACTGTTACTTGTTCACACTCACTCCTCCCTGACACTGGGTTCTCCCCAATCACACCCCAGCTCTGGATTTAGGAGTTACAGCACTGATGTTATCAGTGACTATGATATTATGTATAACGTGAGACAATAAATAATGAACATGTTAATCTGGACACGTCCATTGGCAAAAACAAACACGGAGAGCTAAGTGAGAATTTGGCTCCCGCACACAGACCTCTGCACATCACCCTTTGTTGCGTCCAGCATCATAATGACAACATCTGCTGTTCTCGCGACTGCTATCACCTGCCGCCCACGACCTTTCCCTGAAAAAGGTTAAAACAACAAACTTTCATTTCACAGGAGGAATCGAACATCTCATGATCTTGTAACAACACACAAAGCAAGCAAACACTCTCCCTGCTGGCCTCTCCCTCCCAATTTATCTATAGGAAAGCTAAATGTCCTCACGAGAACCCAATACCCCATCTCCCTTTACCACAAGCATGTTCCAGAACACAATGCACCTCATAGACAAAAACAAACCTTGCGATGCTCCTTCTATGATACCAGGCAGATCCAAAAGCTGAATGTTGGCTCCTTTGTACTGAATTAAAAACAGAAAAAGTATGAGAATTAATTGGTACCTCGGATCCTCTACCTGCAAAACGCTACATTTGCAAGACTTATTTCTTCTTTATCCTCTGGAGAAGAGAAACAATCAAACGAGAGAAGTGCTCACCTCTATAACACCTGGGATACAGGTGAGGGTTGTGAATTCATATGAAGCTGCCTCACTTGCTGTGGAAGTCATCAAACTCAGAAACGTGGACTGCAAGGCAAACATCAGGCATATTTTATAATAAAATCAAAGAGCTGGAATCACTGGAGACGAGCGAAGGTGTTCAAATTCAAAGTTGGCTCGTCAGCAAAAAAAATCAAGTCAATAAGATTTAATTCCCCTTCCCCCCGATTCCTCCCTGCTTTTATCACACCAGAGACAATTCTACTAAAAAGGGTGGAAGAGGGGAAAAAAGAGCTTTCAAAGTCACATTGCTTACCTTACCCACAGAAGGGAAGCCAATCAATGCCACCCTGGCATCTCCAGATTTCATAACATCAAAGCCCTCCCCTTTGCCACTTGCAGTTTTTGAGGGTTCCAGCAGCTGGGCTCTGTACTTGGCTAGTTTGGCTTTCAGCAAGCCCAGATGGTATTCTGTGGCTGCAAATCACAATTTACTTTTGTAATTACAATAGCAAAATAAGTCAACTATTTCACCTCAGAGTAACACCTACTGCAACAAAGTGAATTATATGGCGGCAGAGAAGATATATAGTGCATACTGTGTGTTACAACTTGTTTCATCTGGAAGTAAGTTTGCTGCTTCTGTTTTGGTCAGCCGGGTGTCTGACACAAGTGGAAGCCCATCACCAGTATCCAAACCAAACTAAGGTTTCCATGCATCCCAGCGACACATGGAAATCCCAGAAACAGATTGTTGGAATGCGGACTCTCCCTGGAGGGACGCAGCCTGTTTACCTAATTCCAGAAAGTATTAGGCACCGGTTGGCAAGGGCCAAGGCTTGGGGACCCTATAATGTGCGTTGGTGTATCTGCTGGAGTCTAACCAGCTAAATACATATAGCTTGCCATTGATAGCAATGTCTGGCAAGCTTTATACTCATTGCTGAGTCAGAAGATTGTGCGGTCAAACGCCACATGGGGACTTTGAGCTGACGGATTAGGCTGACGCTCTCGCACAGCAATGTCTGTGACACTACCCTTCAGATAAGTTGTTAAACCAAGGTCCTGTTTGCCTGTTCAGGGGGACTTTAAAGGTCCTGTGAGACTCCTGCAGGAGTTTGGACAACACTATCGGACAAGTCTTCAAATGAACTTGTGTGTGGAACCTTGCTTTCAAGTATACAGTCACTACGCTTGGCGGTAATGTTGTGGCAAGTGCTTTGAGAACTTTCAACATTATAGCTGATGAAAGGATTAACAAAATACAGTGGATAACAGCGGCACAGGATATACATATTGTATTGCCCGGTATTGCCCGGCATCACAGCAGCGGGTACAGGTTACCCGGGATAAGGTGCCTCTCCGGGTTGGTTTCATACACATTCCATGCGGTGCAATACCCGAGAGATCAATAATGTACAGATTCCATAAATAACAGCTACAATAGTTATTTTTGTGGGGAATCAAGACACAGTGCTGCTGCCCTCCCCCCCACTCCCTCCCCCCCCCCGCCCCTCCCTCCCCCCTCCCCCCTCCTGTCCAGTCAGGTCGGTCGGTACCTTTGTTTTTCTGAGTCCGAGCGATTTCCTTCTCGATCTCGGAGATCTTCTCCAGGATCCCCATGACTGGCACCCGGGGGCCAGGCCCGGGCTCGGCCTCGGCCTCTCACTCCGCGGGGAAGCCGGACGCGTGACACCGGCTCCGGCTCCACAAGCACACGGTTCCCCCCGCCCCCGGACCCTGACCCTGACCCGCCTTCACTCCCCCTCCCAGCGACAAACCAACCCCAACCAACTTCAACCCTCTCCTCCTGACACAGACCGGGAACTTTTCCCGCTGCCGACCACCTGCACCGGGAGGAGCCAGACCGGAAGCAGCGACCGGTGCAGCCACCTTACGGGGCCGGAGTCCCCAGTCCCGCCGGAAGGACCCAATACTAAGGTTCCGGATTGTAAACCATGGGAACGGTTGGAGGTCCCGGTCAGTCACTGCAGAGCCGGGAACACGGATTAGAGAAGGAAGCGCTGTGCACCATCTCTCTCCACCCCCCACCCCCCCCAAAAAAAATAATAATAATAATAATAAACTGTCAGGGGGGGATATCAGGGGGGACATTGCAGGAATTTAGCCAACTATTACTGCAGCTTACCATTGAAAACAACAACAACAACAACAACAAGACTGCATTGATAGAGCGCCTTTCACGTCGGGAGGACGTCCCAAGGCCAAGAGAACACGGTCTATGGCGAACTTCGTGCTGTTTCTGCAGCTCGTGCCACACTACCCATGAGCCGGATTCAAGGAACCCGAGTGGGAAGAATCCCAAGCCCCCCAGTTACCGGCGTGCCCCTCGCTCTCTCGCTGATAATCTGTTCCGTCATCAAGATCAAGAGCGCCTAATGTGTTGGAATTTTTTTTGTAATGGATTAAAACTCGTGTGTGTTGGCAAACAAAAATATAGCATCTTCACTGAACTGCAGATGTGCTTGGATATGCTGGCAGACACTAAAGACTGGACAACGATAACGATTTACCACATTTACAATTTTAATTGTCTTGAATTTTTTTTATTGCACTGACAAATATTCTCATCAGTAAATTCACTGGAGAGAATGTTTTTTTTCGTAAGGCCCAGAAGAGTCCAAAAGCTGCAGTCTTTCACAAGGAACTTTATTGGATGTGGCACTCTTACATATTTCACCACAGATCTCAAACGTAAAGCTCCAGATATCTTTGAACAATGCAGTGTAATGAAATATTCGTCCCCATGCTCCGATTTAACAATAAAATCAATACAAACTGGTTAGTCCACCTTCACGTGTCAGTATGCCATCCACACTGTATAGGGACTGTCTTGCCTGTGGATAGTGGGCTTTATTTTCCCACTTACAGAAATCTTCTTACTTAAAGGTTTTAAAAAGTATTTGAGTTTATTTGCCAGTGTTCCAAAAATATGCAAAATACAAGTGAGGAACAGAAGCAAGTCTTGACCCGTGTGAGATTAAAACAATCCTATTTCTGACAGAGCAGGAAAAGTTTTAAACCAACAGATCTAACTGTTATATGTAGAATTTCAAAGCTAAAGTCCATTCATATCTTCATGACTAATCTTCAGGAGAGAAATTGTACTTTGGAAATAAAAACATACACCTGCATAATCCTGTTGAAGCACAAAATTCCACCATACCATTCCCATTTACTCCCATTATATGTACTCGCAAGTCCTGATCTAGGCATTCAATTTGTATGCAAATCAGCGATGTGTTTAATCAGGATAAAAGGAGTCATACTATGGATAAAATGTTGGTGCAATACACGTTTTCTAGCACTAGATGTCGCTAGTTACAACCAGTTGAAGAAACTTGTTTTCCTGCACCAATTTTGTTAAAACCTCTTCTATTATTAAAATTTATATTAATAGGTTGTCCAATTTGGAAACCTCTTTTTCTCCTGCCCCCCTTAAACCCTTTTATATAAGTGCAAGATCAACCAGCCACTGGGTAGTCAGTCAGGCCAGACACATGGCCAGAGTGAAGGTGGATCTCTGGTTTTGTGCACATGCTCAGCACAACTGCTTTCTTGGGATGAAGGGAGTTGGGAGGTGAAGAAGGGGGAACTGGCAGCTCAGATTGGGAACACGCCACACGTGGAATCCCCTGCACTGCAAACTAATCTTTTCCCCAATTCCAAAGGAACAACATCACAAAAGGCACACGTTAGCCTTCTGTGAACATCTGAGACAGCAACACTGAAGCCCTCTCCCGACACAAAACTTACTCAAATTCCACACAGAATATATCCTATAACATGGATAACGGGGAGGACCAAACCCACAGCCTAATCTCAGGTTTTAAAGGACTTCGTTGAAGCCATCATAACCTCTAAATTAGGTAAACGCCCAGTAAACTCACTCCCGGGTATCCATTTATTCTATAGTTAGCATTTTATAAATCCTTAATAGAATTACAGACTTGCAAAGGAAAGTCAGTCATTCAAGGGATTTTCTTAAAACCCCATCTCTCTGATTTTTGATTTACTCGCGTTGTCTGTTCGGATAAGGTCACTTCTGTACTCTCACAAAAACACAGCATAGAGCATGTGCAACAGCACCAGCAGAATAGGTAAGAAGATCTTTTAAAGGATTCAAGCCTGATTAGCTTATGTATATATAAAAACACGCCAACAGCAAAAAGGGGGGGGAAAAAAACATCAAATACAACTGTGATGCTGGTAATGGCTGCTAGCTCTGGTACAACACAGTTAGCACTGAAAAGAAAACTTAAATCAATGAGAGCAAAATTAAATACCAATAAGTGCAGTTTAAAGTAGCTTTAAAACCAGATGAAAACAAGTTGTCTTTTACTTAGTGAAACAATCAAGCACCAACAGTCACGCGCTTGGCTTCAATTCTTGATGCTTGAGCTTCCCATTACATTACCGCATGTCTGTTAGCGGCAGAGAAACTGCTACTTGTTCCTTATGATTTTAGAACAGTTTTTTTTCTCTCTGAGTTTCTCTGCCCTCGAACGGTTCCATTATCTGCCTCCCCTTCCCCCCAATAAGATGGGGGTGTATTGATGAATGTCACCGGAACTCGTAGATGGGAGCACTGTGTTCAGGGACGTGTGTGAGGTTTAAGGACTGATACCTGGAGAAAGAGAATAAAACACTGGTTAAAAGTGAGAAGTTAAGCTGTAACTTTTAAATAAGAAAAGTAACACAATTGGACCAGAAGAGTGCCTCAACAATAGCATGCTGAGGGGTGGGCTGAAGCTGTGCAAGGCCAAGCTTAGACAAGGATGATCCCAGAACTGAGCGGTTATACCTATCAGGAAAGGCTGAACATACTTGAACTCTTCTCTTGAAAAGAGGAGGGTAAGGGCTGACCTGATAGAGGTCTTTAAAATGATGAAAGGTTTTGATAGGGTTGACATAGGGAAGATGTTTTTACTTGTGGGCGAGACCAAAACCAGGGGTCATCAATATAGAAGTCACAAATAGATCAAATAGGTAAGTTAGAAGAAATTTCTTCACACGGAGAGTAGTGGGAATGTGGAACATGCTACCACAAGGAGTTGTTGAGGCAAATAGCATAGATGTATTTAAGGGGAAACTAGATAGGTACATGAGGGAGAAAGGAATAGAAGGTTATGCTTGAAGGCTTAGTTGAGGAAGGGCAGGAGGAGGCTCATGTGGATTATAAACACCAGCGTAGACCAGTTGGGCCGAATGGCCTGTTTCCGTGCTGTATATGCTAATGTATTCTAAGGGGAAGGTGGGAAAGGAAGTGGTGCCACAAGGAGATCGGGAACAGGTTTACGGACAGAATGGAGAATTTCGCCAATGTGGGCCCCCATTCCATACTTGGGCTGGGCAACATCGAGGCCCCACAGGCATTGAATATAGTATGTGGGAATGAAGGAAGTCCTCAAGGCGTCTGTGCATTGGCTACTTGTGATGGGATATTACCCAGGTTATAAGCTCTAGCCCACACCTGAACATACACTTACATCTTCATACCTCAGTCACCCACTCCAACCCCCAGGCTGATTTGGTTTCCGCCTCTTTCGTTCTAAAATTGTACCAGATCTCACTTTTTTCAGGCGTCTTAATGTTTACATTGCGTTTCAATGACACGTGTCCCCACATTTTTCCCTCAAACCAGAAAGATCTTGGATGATTTCAGGGATTGTGATAAAGTTCTTGTGCTTTGTGCTCCTGGTTTAGGGCTTCTGCTCTTGACAGATCACTCAACAACAACAACAAAATTACATTTATAGAGCGCCTTTCATGTCGGGAGGACGTCCCAACGCGCTGGACAGTCACAGGTCAGGAACCGTGCATGGGGAAGGGGAGGGGTGAGGGAAGGTAGAGAAGTGGGAGGGTGACCAAAGGCACGATCGAAGAGGAAACTCACTACTTTACACTCAAAGCTTGTTGCTCACATTCCTTAATATTGTTCAGTTGTCACTCAGGTGCAAACATTTATTTTCTAAAAATCAATTGCTCCTTTGCTTGTCATATTTAATGTTTTAATTCAAGGCAAAGAAGTTTTAAAAAAATAACAACAGCAACAAGGCTGAAAGGACAAGCAGGTATTGTCCACACATGAACCTCTCATCGAATTACACCTCCTCCTTACCCCAGCATCAAACATGATACAATCACTTTCTATTCATGGAGGAGTTTCCCACCTTTGGTTCCACGGCCATCAAGAAACTAGAATTATCCAACCACAATCTGACCAAGTGGCTATCAAATTGTGTAGTTTGTGCAATCCTTGGCAGATGACACTTAAGATACTGTTCAGAAAAATATATCCGGATGTGGCCAGCCTCAAGTTGAACAAATAACAATTAGGGTTGTACCTATTTCACACGTTTATTGCTTTTACAATTCTCTTAGTGCAGCCGTGTCGCTTCCCATCTTCATCAACAGCTTTTGACAATCCTTCTGTTTGAAAGGAATTGTTGTGCATAATTTTCATTACGGTGTAATCACCTGCAAGCGGTGCTGTGATGGTGCAGTGACAGGGCATGTCCCATCGCATTGACTGATCAAAAACAGAAGATGTACCCACTTCTGCCCTGGGAGCCCTTTAACAGAAACAGGTTTGCCTTCTCCTCCCCCTCCTGTCAGCATTTTGACCCTTGTTTCCTTCTGGTGATGGCATGATTCCCACATTCGGTCACCCTCCCCTAACTCACTCAAGTTTCCAATCCCATTTCAACTGTGACAATAATTGTTAGCGGGAATATTCAGCTGCGAGAGGCAAAATCATTGCTGACCTTCATCCTCCTTCACCCAATATCCACAACTTACAGCGGTGTCTACAATGAGTAATCAGGAGCAGGAACCTTGGCTAATTTTGTCTGTCACCAAATCCAATTGAGCCCTAACTGAGATCAACAACAACTTGATCAATATAGCACCCTTCACGAGGGGTAGCGTCCCAGAACGCTTGACAGTGGTGGGGTCTGACCCCGAGCCGGGGAAGAGGGAGGGGGGAGGTGACCAGTAACTCAGTACAGACCAGGAGCAAGGCTTCAGGTTTGCTGGAACTGCACTCGAGCAGTACCTTTGCCAACCAGACCATTGGTGAGACTTTACTGACAGATATAGAAATATAAGCAGATCCTCTCACCATTCTGAGCTCCTGTGGTAGTAATAGCCCTCTATCGAAGCTGTGGATTTTTGGAAGCAAATATAATAAAATCCTGCGAAGGAAGCGCCACTGATGTCTTTGATCGTGTGATCAGGGACTAGAAACTGTTCCTGGAAAGAAAGAAAAAATAATTCTGTAAATCAATTCAAACTTTTATGACCAACCATTTAAACTAGTTCCTAATTTGTTCCCTATTGAACCATACCTGTTGGAGTCTACAGTAGAGATTTATGTAAAAGGAGTAAATTGCATCTTTGAATAAAATCCCATGGGTGCTTTTTTTCCCTTATAATCTGAACATTGCACTGGTACAGACACAAATGGACGATGGAGAATTATTTTAGTCAGAAAGACTGGCATTTGTGAAGAAGCCAAATCCTTGTCATTATAGAGCCAATTCAAGACTAAATAAGGAGACACTTGCATAGATTGGTGTAACTAAAGAAATATTCCTAATGCAGGTACACTGTGAGAAAGAGGATATGTGCAGCACTCCTGTACAAAGTAGGGCTTACTCACTATTCTTCCCGTTAAAAATAACTTCTGAAAAAAATGAACCAGAAGAGATAATCCCTGAGCAAGGAGAGAGTTTCTGATATAAAGATCATAAGTTTTTGTTTTCCTCTTTTAAGATTTCCAAACAAAAAATCCAAGAAACAAAACTTGCTTGTGGTCGCAAAAGCAAGGTCAGCTGACAATTCTTTCCAGGGTAAAACACAAGCTTCCTATTCAACTAGGGAACAAATCCAAGTCAAGTCCCATCCAATAACTGGCAAGCACTGCAAACACAATAAGAGTTTGACCCACGTCACTGGATGGTGTAATCCCTGACATGCAGAATTATACCAACCATATAGGAGCAGGCTTTAGAAAAAAAAAATCTCTATATAAAAAGGATTGTGTTTATGAGGCAAGAAGTATAGACATTGGGTGTATACACTTACTGTACTGCAGCTTTTGGGCACGGAGGTTACTTTGAGGTCCTGGTTTCAGGTTGGCAATCGTGGAGGGAAGCTGCTCAGCTGGTAGAGGCAGGCATGATGTTCACGTCATGGAGCGCTTGTAGATGGGACTAAAAAAAGTGTTGAGATTTATTTCAGTCGGAAGATTTTACGGTGTTTCTTGCAGAAGGATGAAGTCAAACATTAATGAATTCAACATCTTGGAATTCCTGGGGAAAGGTTCTGTTTGCCTTTGTGGCTTTTTTTTTGGTTGAAAATTTACTAAGTGGTGATGGGAGGGGAGGGGGACGCAGATGAACAGTAGGACATGTAGTTGTGGGAAAGTTGTGAACCAAAAATGAGCACAAGAAGGCCCTTGTTGACTCTTTCTGCAATGTTCCCTCCCGCCTACTGGAGAAGTGCCTTGCCTCTTCCTCACTTGCTTTCTGCTCCCTGATTCTCTCCCCAAAAGACAATTGTGGATCGCATTCACAATATAAATTGTTTCACAAAAAAAAAAGACTTGATGCAGTTGTGTACTGTACGTCTGTTTGATCACATCTCAATAGCAGGACCACTTCCTGAAAGCAAATCATCCCAGCACAGCAACTAACAGCAGATAGCTCCAATGGTAACACATCTCTCATCATAGCCAAAATATTCAAACCTTGCAGCCCAAAAGAATGGTGTTTGGAACAATATCATAACTCGTGCTCAAGGAAAGGAAAGCACGTGCTCTTTCACGTGAAAGGAAAGAAAGTGCTCTTCACTTTGCACTTATGTCACCTCAGGTTCAGATCAGCAGTAGCAAAGTAACACTGATTGTTGTTGTGAAATTTGAGATTATTCTAATTAAGGCTTTCAAAATGCTTTTGTTTCTCCTCTTCTTTTTAAACGTTGGTCATTTCCACAGATGGTTGTGTTGGAGGCTGGTTCCCGGACCTCGCAAACATCTCACTATAAATGGAGGTGCGCTCGAGTTGTCCAGGACGAAAATTGGAGAGTGAAGATACTGAGTTCACAATACATTTTATTTCAGATTCTGTGTCCAAGAAAATTCTGTATCGGCTCAAAATTCGTTGAGCCCATTGCATGGGCACCAGCCAAGTAACTGTGTACAAGAATGTACAGAACCAACGCTCAAATTCCCAGGTTACTGCAGTGTCAGGATAAAAGACGATACACAGAGAAAAGGAATCTCTTCAATGGAAGGAAATAAAATCTGATTATTCTTGTGCAGGAGAAGTACCGTCGAGCCAAAAGTTTGCAGGTCGCTGAGAGTAAAATGCAGCAGTTAACTTTCTGTATACAGAAAGAAATTTACGTTTGTTCTCTTCAGTAGGTACAAGGTTATCAGATCATGGGGCAGAATAAGGCAAGTGGGGAGGGGGGGGGGGGTCAGGTAGAGTATAAACACTGGCATGGATTAGCTGTGCTGAATGGCCTGCTTTCATGCCGTCTCACTCTATGAAGGTAAGTAAGTCAGCAAACAAAGGAAAAATGTGTTCACAGTCACGTCAGAAGGGTCAGTTCTTCAGGAAGGCAACAGAATCATATTATCCCATTCTATATTCAATAAATGATACTGTTTTAAAGGGGGTTCAGGAGCAGAGAGATCTGGCGGTTCAAAGACACAGGTCTTTGAAGGTGGCAGGACAGGTTGATAGTGCTGTTAAAAAAGCCGATGGGATTCTTGGCTTTATAAATAGAGGCATAGAGTACAAAAACAAAGAAGTTCTGCTAAACCTTCATAAGTCACTGCTTAGGCCTCAGCTGGAATATTAAGTTCAATTCTGGGTACCACACTTTGGGAAGGATATCACGGGCCTTGGAGAGGGTGCAGAAGTGATTCACCAGAATGGTACCAGGGATGAGGGACTTTAGTTATGTGGGGAGACTAGGGAAGCTGGGATTGTTCTTCTTCGAGCAGAGAAGGATAAGGGGAGATTTAACAGAGGGAGTTCAAAATTATGAGGGGTTTTGATGAGTAGATAAGGAGAAACTATTTCCATTGGTCGTTGGGTACAGCGCACATAGATTTAAGATAGTTGGCAAAAGAACCAGAGGGAGTTGAGGAGACATTTTTTTATATAGGCGGAGAGTTGTTACGGTCTGGAATGCACTGCCTGAAAAGCTGGTGGAAACAGATTCAATAACATCTTTCAAAAGGGAATTAGTTAGAAACTTGAAAAGGAAAAATTTGCAAGGATATGGGGAAAGAGCGGGGTGTGGGACTGATTGGTTGGCTCTTCCAAAGACCTGGCACAGGTACGATGGGCCGAATGCCTCCTTCTGTGCTGTAATACTCTATGATTCAGTTACTGGAGTACAACAACAACTTGCATTTATATAACGGCCTTCACGCGGAATAGCCAATAGTGGAGTCTGACCCCAAGCCAGGGGTAGAGGGAGGTGACTGTAAGCACAATGAAAAAGAAATGTCTTTAGGCAGGATTTGGAGGTGGGGAGTGAGGGAGCAAGCCGGAGTGACTGAGGGAGTAAGTTCCAGAGTTTCAGGGCGTAGTTTCTGAAGGCACGGCCACTGATGGTAGAGTGGAGGGGACGAGGACAAGCAGCGGGTGGTGGAGTGGGGAGTAAGCAAATCGGATAGGTAGGGAGCTGCGAAGGCACGGAGAGATTTGAAAACGAGTGAGATGATCTTGAAATCGATTGATTCAGTACTTGGGAGCCAGTGGAGCCTGGCAAGGACTGGTGTGATGGGAGTACGCTGTTTCGTGCGGCGTTTTATCTGGGCGGAGTTTTAAATTATTGGGATTTTATATATTGCAGAGCTGGGGAGACCAGTGAGGAGGGCATTGGAATAGACCAGCCAGGAAGTGGCGAAGTCGTGGACGAGGGTTTCAGCTGCTTCGGTTGTGAGGTACTGACCGAGCCGGGAAATGTGGCAGAGGTGGAAGAAAGTGGTCCTGTTCAGGGAATGGATGTGGGGCAGCAAGGAAAGCTGGGCATCGAACCTGACCCCCAAGTTGCGTACGGGTTTGGAGAGCATGGGGAGATTGTGGAATATTCTCATTTCTTCCAAGCAAGAAATGGGAATACTCCTCACCCCGCAGGAGAGAAGACACTGACGAAAGCCAATGAGTATGGTTTCCGTCTTGCCGACATTCAGCTGCAGGAAATTTGCGCTTATGCAGGCCTTGATGTCCATCAAACAAGCTGATAGTCATTAACAGACTGGGAGTCGCAGCTGGAGGAGAAGTAGATTTTTGTGTCATCCGAATACCCTTGGAAGTTAACCTCCTTGTCTGCGGGTGACTTCACCGAGAGGGAGCATATAGTTGAGGAAAAGAAGGGGGCCAAGGATGGAGCCTTGGGGTACCCCACAAGTGCCCGGGCGGGGGCGAGAGGAAAAACCATTTGCCTAGATGTTTTATTGGCTGTTTGTTAAGTAGGACTCGAACCATGCGAGTGCGGTCCCACTAAGGTGGATGAAGGAGGTGAAGCAGGATGGCATGATCCAACTGTACTGAATGCAGCGGAGAGGTCCAGGAGAACGCGGAGGCAAGAGAGTTGCAGAGAGAGGGGCAAAGGAGTGTAGGGTGAGGGTTGTCGTAAGAGGAGAGGGTGGTGAAGGAGGCATGGAGGTGGGATGGGTAGGCGACGTGGTGCGGGGGGAGGAAGAGGAGGCGGCCAGGCGGATGTTATCTATCTTAGAGATAAAGAAGACCAAATGTGTTTGGAAGAAATGGGAAGTTGTTGCATAGGGATGGTGATCAGGAACAGATCACAAAAGGATTTTTTTTTACCTCTTTTCATCTCAGAGAGATGTTATCCTATGTAAATGCACAACATAATAATGCACCCAATATTGGACAAGGAACAGGCACAATTGCCGGTAAAGAATAGCATATGATGACTAGCCTTGTATGTGTTTTAGCGGAACTAACATTTAGACACAGGGAAATCCCATACATGCACGACTCCATCTTCATATGTTCTTGTTTCAATTTGGCTTCGATGCACTTTGCTGATCACATCTTTGAACATTTTAATCAAACAAATACCCAACTGAGATGGCCTTTTTGATTTTGGTCTCCATTCTTGCATGTTCATGGTAAGAGATAAAAAACATGAGATTCTATGCCTCATGAGTGATGACTCCAATGACCACCCAGGTATGTCAGCAAAAGATAAAGCACATCACTTGAACAACTTGTAAAAAGATGACAGTTTTGATCGTGTTAAATAATGCAACTTAATACATTTGTAATGTTTTGCAGGAGGAGGTTCTTAGAAATTAACAAGAGGTGAGAAGATACAATGTTTTCCTGTACATCAAGCCTGGAAATTACAAGGAGCCTCTGTATTTCAGAGAAGTAAAACTGGACAATGAATCACAGATAGTATCAGACCCAAAGGGAGAAGTGGGGAATGTCATACATTCTAAGATATTCTTCATAAAGTCATTGTCAACTAAAGAGGAAATAGAATCAACTTTAGGCAATACAAGCATTCGAAAGCTAATGAGGAATCAAAAAGAGACAGAAAATGCAATAAGCCAAACAAGAGCATGCTAACAATCCTAGGGTTCTTCACTGCTGCTGGTTACTATTAGTAACCAACAAGGAGCCTGGCCTGCATTAGTAATCCTGCTTAAACAACATCACTACAGGCTGTGCTACTAAGGCTTCAGCTTCCTTCTAAACCCATGATGGAAAATATTCTAAAATGATTAAGTTTCAGGAGATAATTAGCTGAGCCCGAGTCATTTCATGACATCACCCAGCAGCAGAGGTTATCCTGAACTGTCCTCAAATGTAGCAAACAAGGAAGGCGTATGACAGAGGATTGTGAGGCAGCAATTCAGAAAGGCTAAAGCCTAAAATATGCAGACATGGTTTGATATTATCTGAATGTCTCAAACAGGGGTAATTAGATTAAACTGAACACTCCTACACTAGAATCTGTTAAGAAGATAGCTCAAAGTTATTAGACAAGAAGAACTTCTGATAGAAATATGGATCTCCGTTCATCAGGGGATAATATTTACCTCTTCCTATAAAGAAGGAAATGATAGAAAAACAAGAGGGAGACTTTATCACAATATGAACTGATACCAAGCTTGCAGGTGTAGTGTATAGTAAGGAGGACAGCAAGAAACTGCAGGAGGTCAAATAGATTAGAGCAATGGGCAGACCTGTAGCAGATGAAGCCAAATTAAGTGAAACATGAGGTGATTCATTTAAACAGAAAAAACAAGGGACAGCAGTATATGCTGAATGGCAGTATCTTGCAAAGGACAGAGCAGGTAAAGGGCTTGGGAATGCAAGAGTACAGGTTTGTGTTGCATCAAGGCTGTGAAGAACAAATTTAGACTGACACCAAGAAATATTTATATACCAGAGAGAATGGGTTAGCAGGAAAGGGTGGTCAGGCCAGGATACTGGACTTATATAACAAGCAGCTCGAAACAGTGTTATGAACGACAGTTGGGCCTATGAGCTCAAATGAGCTGAAGAACCTTCTTGATTTGAACCTCTATTATGATCCTGTTCAATAAATTCACCCATTATACTTTGAAATGTCCATCTTTTCACTCCAAAAAACGTTAGATAAGCTATAACACAGCCCCATTGGAGCCCTGCCGGATTCCTACCCTGATTAGTTTCTGTACAGTATTGAGGGCAGGGAGGTGAAAACTGATGAAAAGGAAAAAAAGGCAACATGACTTGTCAATTTGATCTAGGTAACTAGTAAATAGGGCTTCATCTTGTAAACAGCTACAATCCTTGGACTAATTGCTGATTTTCAATAACCCAAACTCCCCCCACCCCATATTTTATACCCGAGACACTGTCCTATGACATTCCACAAAATCCACTCTCAGCTGCAACACTTTGGTGAAGGGGAAAGAGGACACAGCAGATGGAAAGTGCTTTCCCTGAGCTAGAAAATCATAGTTCAGGTTGAAGAAAGAAATACAAACCCAGAGGTTACTCCAGAGCAGTGTGGGTTGCACTGCGTCACTCAGTCACCCTTGTGACAAAATAACATTACAGCTCGTGGAAGATGAAAGTAGAGGAAAAGTTTATTTTTAAAGTTAATAGTTCTTTCCTTCTCACATTCAGTTTAGTTCGTTCAATGCTGCTTCACATCTATAACTTTGAGTTGTATATAAGGTAATTGGAGCAAACAACCATTTTCTCATGCAAGTTTCCCTCAACACATTCATTCTTCCACTGTACACATCTATGCAAGTGCTCGTCAGACTAAAATACCCTCCAAACTTGGTCTCCATACTTTCAGATTCTATAACATTCAGCATTTAGACAAATTTTAGAAGTTCAAAAAGTGGTTTAGTCCTATATCCATCCAGTGAGCGTATACTGTATCCCAGGCTCCAGAGTCAGTCACCTGCCTACAAATTACTGCACACTGGTGGCTTATTCCGATCTCGAGTTCATGGCAGAGACTGTGCCCAAGGCAACATTTTGCTTTATTTGTTGCTGGAGCTGCACCAGAATATTGTGCATTAATTCCAAACCAAAGCCCCAAAGCCAGAGTACACACACAGCTTCACACGCTGCTGCTCCCAAGTGTGGACGTGTTTCCTCAGTCACATCAACTGGAATAAGTGTCCCTTGAAGAGAGTTTACCAACAGCTGACGAACAAGGCTGTGAAGCACACACTAGGCCTTGGCAGTCCAGTGCACAGCTGCCAGGTTTGCTGTTACTTGCACTCATCAGCCACCAGGGTCACCTTGTATTGAGACAGTTACATTGAGGTTTTAAAAATTACTAATTTACTTAAGTTTGATTTTTGTGTCTTTGCCTGCATTATTTATCAGCAACCAGAAATAGTTAAATAATTCCTGTTACCTTCCACCTCATGAAGACAAAATCACTGTTCTTTAGCTCATCGTAATCAAACTCATCCGAGTTAAACGTCTTTGCATATTGATAAAATGGCAAGAATTTTCCCTGAAAAGATATAAATAAACAAACAAATAAATAAATAAAAACAACTTGCATGTATACAGCGCTCTTCACACAGGGTAACATCTTGGGGCGCTTAAAAGTGGCAGAGTTTGACACCGAGCCAGGAAGTAGGGGATGGTGATAGTTAGCATGGTTTAAGAGGAAGGTCTGTGATCTGAAGATGGGCAAGAAATGGGCAAGGCTGAGCAACCGAGGCAGAGAATTTCATTGGTTTCAGGGCAGCTGGAAGCACAGAAGCCGATGGTGGAGCGGAGGGGATGAGGGACATGCAGGAGGCCGGAGTCAGCTGAGCGAAGAGGGCAAGTAGAGGAGTGGAATGTAAGCAGGTCAGATACATTAGAGATTAAAACATGCAAAACTTGTAACACATGATACTGAAAGCATCTTTAAACTACACAAGACAAGGGTGTGAATCTATGTAAGCCTACTTAAGCCTAATCACAGAGGAAGGGCAACTAAAACGTCTGCAATTGTAATTTAAATTTTGATTAAAATTGATGACTCGACCATGATTATTTTCAGAGACAAAACTGGAGCACATCTGGAGGGTTCACAGGGCAATGGGCAGTGGTACTAACATCTCAAACATCAAACATTTGGAAAGTTTGCAGAGAAAGTGTGGAAGATTCCCTGAATTGACAACTCACCCAGTGTTTGCGATCTACGTCTTCATCTGCATCCCACTTTCTGGTGAGGAAAGGATGCTTCTTACTGATGATTTCTCCTTCAAAGAAGGTGGTAAGAGTCGGATATTCCTACAAGGTGGAAACAGAACAAGACTCAGCAAAACCACAAGTTTTCATTGCACAATGCGTTTGACCATTTCACTTCCCAATAAACTACCGCACGTTACTTCCTGAAAAACCTCACAGCAGTTCATCGTTCAGCACGGCTATTGCAGTACCTGCTTTCACCTGCTCCAACAACCACAATCAACAACTCCTCATCCATGTGATAACCATAAATATTCATCCTCTGGAGCCTCAATCTCACAACATTCTCAGAGTTTACTTTGATTTGGGTCTTGTCTCTTCAGATTAATAAACTAGTACACGTCCAAATTATGAATAAAAATATTGATTTACATAAAAATCTGCAAAGGAAACTGGATCATGCCCTGGATTAGTACACAGGACTGAAAGTCTCAGCTGGCCCTTAATGAAACATTCTGTAGCAATACAACTCAGATGTTCCTCGAGGAGCTGTGGAAGTGGGACTGGAGCCATTGTCCTTCAGATGAGATGTCCTTCGGATGAGACGTGAAACCAAGGTCCCGTCTGCCTGTTCGGGTGGACATTAAAGATCCCATGGCACTATTGGAAAAGAGACAGGAGCTTCTCCCAGTGTACTGGCCAACAATCCCTCAAATAAAATTGGTTGCTCACTCCACGGCTGTTTGTGGGACACTGCTGTGTGAAATTGGCTGCCGTGTTTCGCCCACAAAATATACAGTCACTCCACTTTTTTGTGTATCCTATGAAGCACTTTGAGATGCCTCAATGACATGATAAGGCGCTATATCAAATGCAAGGATTATTATGAGTAATGACCTGAATTTAACATGATCTGTATTAATTCTGTCTATAGACCAATGTGTGACTGTACTCCTAACTCAATTCCAACAGGATCCACTACATACTGTCTGGGCTCCACAAAGCCTTTGCTTCAGGAAACCCTAGTTTCCAATTCTCAAAGCATGAAAACTAAAGTGTCTTTCTTCTTTCCCCCCATTCTGCCAAGCCAGACCTACAACCATCAAACAAAATCTTTGCTTCAGTGAGTTCTCAGTAGCTGAAACAGCAGAGGGCTTCTGCACATCATTCCCTGGCCGCCTTGAAAACAGATACAGAGGAAAACAACACATGGTTCAGGCAACAGACATCACAAGCATGCTTTGCCTAATACTGTGTTGACAAAGACGTTCGAGTCAATGACCAAGTAACAATGCGACTCAGTGCCCATGTTTAGCAATTCAAATATGCACGCACGTTAAGTGCTAATTCTGCTCTATTGAGCCACACATTCACGTTGATGATTCAGAATTGCAGTTAATTTGGTTACCAACCAAGCTAACTCAATAAAGGCAGCACCAATCCCACAGTATTAACAGCACAGCAATAAGTGAAGTGGTTAAAGGCCTTTTCTCTTTGCGTAAAAACCCACTTAGAACAAGTTGGAAATATATAATATAATAATCCTTGCTTTTTCATGTCTTCGAGATGTCTCAAAGTACTTCACAGAATATACTGTAAAGTGAATTGACTGTATATTTGTGGGCGAAACACAGCAGCCAAATGCACACAGCAGTGTCACGCAAACAGTCGTGGATTGAAGTGACCAATTTATTATTGTTTTTTTTTCTTGAGGGATTATTATCAGGTGTGTGGAGTAAGGAAACTTGCACAACATTTAGCCCTGCCAGGATTCAAACCCAGGTCTTTCGCTTGTGAGGCAAGTGCTCTAACCACTGAGCTACAAATATGTCATTCCCTAGCAACAAAGACTCACACAATAAACAGTGAGAACTGTTAAGTCTATAACAGTATTATCTCCACTATAGTGAATTACTACAACCAGTAACAGCATTCAGCATTCCTACCTCTTGGCAGTTTTCCCCACATTAAACTACACAGGAACTTGGGAAGCAATAGGGACAGCCAAGTTTGATCTTGCTTTGTTTCTGAACACTCTTCTCTATCCTCCCAACACCCTTCTCCACCATACTCAGTGGGCAGATTACCTTCTCCCAGACCTCTACCAAAGTGGTCCTACATCAGGAGAGGATATGTGAAACTGCGTTAATTGGTCACCCGCTCTGCTGATGAGCTACCACCTCATGTCTCCTGACTGTCTTGTGTCTTTTCCTTTCCTCCTTAATTCAGGATGGAGTAGTTTACAATATGCTCTTCCTATAAGATTAATTCATGAACATGAATACTTTAGAACTTCAGTGCTACTGACACTGTCTTTCTCCTCCAAGACCGAGATTTATATCAAGAACAAATGAAAACCTTGTGCTTGTTACAAAAGTTCCATGTCGAATAGCATTCAGGACAGTACCAACATATCTAAGGGCATGTGCAAGCCTGCAGGCCAAAACTATCCCCAAATATAGTGCCAAATTACCAATCTCAAAGAATATAAGAACTGATGCTGTATTAAAACTAGCAGCACTGATACCTTCATCCTGATGAGCATAAACATTGAGTCACTTGATTGTTATGTAATATATTTTTTTAAAAATCCTAGAATTATACATCAGCTATCACGTGGATTAAAGCTGATCTACAAATTCAACTCAAAGCACAAACTCGCGTGTTGTATAAACATTTTACCATCAATCTCTGGTTTGTAACATTAGTCAATCCAGTCATTCTTATACCAGCCAGTTGACCCCACATGACAACAGAGAACACAGGAGCGTTCTCCACACAAGCCATCCAATATGGCAGCATATTATCCAAAGAGAAACCTGATTGGCTTCACTGATTTCTGGCTGATGACAAGCGTTACCATAGATCCTCTTTCTGACTAGGAAACTGGGATATTCGGATTAACATTCTTTCCTTTTTTGAACATTTTTCAAACAGAAAATACTAATGAATTATTGACTTGGAATAATCAAGTCCAACGGTGCAACACAGCTGAATTAATACCTACATCCAGTCATGAACCCCAAGCTCACGGGGTGTGGGGGGGAGAAGAGATGCTCTTTGAGTAAATTCATGCAATCACTTGGGCGATGTATAAGAGGGTCAGAGTACCTTGGTATTCTATTCCTGTGGCTAGCCACACTCGAGAATAGGAAGAGGAGTCAGTCTTCCATTGCTTCACTTCGGCCACTACTGGCAACCCACTGAGAGCAGAACGAGCAGGAAGCTGCCGATTTGCAGCCTGAGACAAGTGTTTTAATCCCTCCCTTCCCCCGTAAATAATTTCCAAACCTAATTTACATGTACTCCAAATGAGTTTACTTCCACGTGCGTTTTGTTAGAGCAACAACTGGGGGGAGGGGTCATTACGACTGGCAAAGACAACACAGGAGGCTGTACTGGGCACAACCATAGTCAGTGTTAGGACACAAATGCACTATGTGTCAATTTACAAAGGTTCTGGAAGAGCCCCGTGACACCGAACACAATCTAGTGAAGCACAGCAGATCATGGCAGGGGGCTTTCACTATAGGTGCACACTTGCACCCACTATCAGCTAAACAGCCATAACTTACAATGGTTGTTTTTAAATCTACAGCAGCTAATAATTTTCATTGAAACATTTGCCCCTTTGGGTTGGTCGCTCCTCATCTCCCAAGGTTTATATATTTATACACTGCCATTCAACTACCAAGACTATAACTTTTAGTTCTAATATTTAAAAAAGATTTAACAACGACAATACATTTGTATAGTGCATTTCACATCAGGCGGACAACCCAAGGCGTTAGACAATCAGTGTTTCGGACTCGAACTGGTGGTTGGGATCGGGGAGGGTGGGGACAGGGGCGGGGATGGGGGGTGACCGAAGGCACGGTTGAAGAGGAGGGTCTTGAGACAAGTCTTGAAGGAGGCAAGGGAGGGATGAGGCGGAGGGACTGCGGAACAGAGCTCCAGAGGGTGGGGGCAGAGTGGTAGAAGGCCCACCCACCAATGGTGGAGTGGTGGAGCGAGCTAGGCGGGCGACGTCAAGCAGGCTGGAGCCCGCTGAGCAGAGGGAGCGGACAGGTTGGTAGGTGATTAGAAGGTAGCAGATGTGGGGGAGCAAGGCCATGGAGGGCTTCGAAGGTGAGGACCAGGTTCTTGAACTGTATCCTCTGTGTGGTGGGAAGCCAGTGGAGTCTGGCGAGGATGGGGGTTATAGGGTTGGGGAGCCTCGTGCGGGAGAGGACACGGGCTGCAGAGTTCTGGATGATCTGCAGCCTATGGAGGGAGGAGTTAGGGAGACTGATAAGCATGGAGTTTGTGTAGTCGAGCCTGGATGTTATGAATGTGTGTATAAGGGGTTCAGCGGCTTGCGGTGTGAGACAATGGCGGAGCCGGGCGATGTTGAGGAGGTGGGGGAAGGCAGAGTGGGACATGGCGTGGATGTGGGATAGAAAGGATAGTTGAGAGTCAAACAAGATGCCAAGGTTCCGGACTGGCTTAGTGAGGTGGAGTGTGCATCCTTGGACGGCGGTGCTGTCAGTGCCCAAGGTGTGGAGGCACTGACAGGAGACAATCAGAAGGGCCTGCTCTCATCCGACAGACATTGTCAGGACAGCAGTGGTCCTAGAATCAAGGGTGAGGGCAGCGAGATAGAGTTGGGTGTCATCCGCATACATATGGAAATTGACCTCATGTCTGTGGATAATATCACCAAGAAGGAGCACATATATATTGAAAAGGAGGGGACCAAGGACAGAACCCTGAAGAGACAGTGCAGGGACTGGATGAGAAGCCATTTGTGGAGATGAAGTGGAGACGGTGTGAGAGGTAGGATCTGAACCATTCAAGAACAGAATCATGAAGGTTGAGGTGAGAGGCAGTGGAGGAGGATACGGTATCGAAGGCAGCAAAGAGATCAAGGAGGACGAGGAGGCAGAGGGAGCCCTGGTCGCAGATGGACAAAATGCCATTTGTCACTTTGACCAAAGCTGTTTCTGTGCTGTCGAAACCAATTGGAGGGGTTCGTGAAGGGAGCGGTGGGAGAGGAAGGAGTGAAGCTGGGAAGCAATGACTCGTTCCAGGTCCTTGGAAAGGAAAAGGAGGTTGGAGATGGGGCGATAGTTTAAGAGCAGGATGAGTCCAGGGAAAGATTTTTTTTAAGGATAGGAGTGATGACGGCTGCTTTTAGAGGGGTGGGAGCAGTGCCAGAAGACAGGGAAAGGTTTATGATGTCTATGAGTAGGGGGGCACGGAGGTAGAGTTGGGAGGTAAGGAGACGGGTAGGGATGGGGTCGAGGGAGCAGGTGGAGGGTTATGGTGGTGATGAGAGAGGAGGGGGAGACAGGTTCGAATGCGTGGACAGAGGGATAGGTAAGGGCCGGGGTATGAGTGGGAGATGGGGTCGGAATGGCAAAGGCAGCTGAGAGGATCCCCTAGACTTTGGTTTCGAGGAAGTCCAACATTTCCTCGCAGTTGGCGTTGGAAGAGAGGATAGGCAGTGCATGAGAGGGTGGGCGGAGGAGCCGGTTGGTGATGGAGAAGAGGAGTTGTACTCTGCCTCCAAGATTTAAGTAAGACTAAAGTAATGTGCAAAGTAATGTGTCATTTGATTGATCAGGAAAGATTTGATGATTTGCATCACTTACCTCAGTGAGCCCTTTGATCTTCAGGTATCCACAGAGGAAGGAGTTCTCCATGTCAACATGCTGTAGAAATAATTGTGTTAATCAGGATTTGCGATATTCAAGCATACACACCAGAAATATTAAGGATATTGTTTAAAAGAAAAGCAACTTAATATTCTACTACAATAAATAATTACATAAAATCATAGAAATATCACAGCTTTGCGGCTAAACATTGGTAAAGTAACTGATATGTTGGGGCCTCACAGTTCAATTGAAATTGGGAAGTAAAGTGAAATAATATCACCCAAGGCCAAGATTCCAAACTCCCAGATCTCCTCGGCCTACAACAACAATAATAGTAATAATACTTGCATTTTATAAAGCGCCTTATCACTTCTTCGGGACATCTCAAAGCGCTTCACAGAATATACTGTAAAGTGAATTAAATTGTGGACGAAACGCGTCAGCCAATTGAGCGCAGCAGTGTCCCATAAACAGTTGTGGATTGAGTGTCCAAATTATTATTTAAAAAAAAATTTGGCTGGATTATTAACCCCGGAAAAGCGATCCGCCAATTGACTAACAACAGGGTTCCTACTTATTGCTAGGTAAACCGAGGTGTGCGTCTGGAGTAAGAAAACTTACGGTTTTGCCCTGCTCAGGAACTCAACCCAGGTCCTCTTGCTTGTGAGGCGACTGCTCTAACCAATACATTATAGAATTCTACAATGCCAGTACAATGTTCTCAACAGGTTCAGTCGGCCAATAGACTACATTAGCGGTTTTGCTAAAAAACTAAAGACTAAAAATACACCTCAATGTTTGCCTTGTTATTGCACCAATGTCTGCAAGACCCATTAGCTACACATGCCCAACCACCAGATCACATGAGAGGGCCAATGACAAGACAATTAACTGAATCCATTTCATTGGTTGTTTTTAATTGTAAATGAGAACAGCCTTTAATTAAATATAAATTTAAAAGAAAGCTGGAACATTGATTAGAGCAGCGCTGCATTGAGCAGAATTCTCAGTCATTTGACATGTTTTTTTGCTGGTACATTCCCCTCCCTCTGGGCCCCACTAACACACAGAGCACAGAAAGAGGGAGTTGCAGAAAATTCAAATAGAGAAAACTTTAGGCTGACACTGACCCAATATGGATGTTCATTTACTACAGTCAGATGGTGCCTGGACAAACACTGTTACTGCTATTGTTTTACATTAGGAGAGATACAGATAGATAAGTTCTGCGCACACCACACCTATGCCAAGGCCTGTACTTGTTTTTAAACCAAACATACGTATTTGGTTTGAATGGTTATAAGTAGGTTTGATTGATTTTAATTCAACCCCAGACTATTTGTAAATTATGAGATCTGAGTTCTCGTTTCAGGGCAGAGTTAGTAACTGCCACAAGCCATGTGACTGAATCAGATGTAAAATCATCCACGTTACTCCAGAAAACAGTATAACTGCTCTGAATCCCTCCCCACTCCACTCATGTGACACTGATGGCATGACTCCCCAGCAGCTGCAACCTCCTGTAGCAGGATGGCCTTTGTAATATGAAGTATTCCCAGTAATTAAAGGAGAAAAATATGAGCAAACAAAGTTCAAAAAACTACCAAGGGGTTAACTTCTCCATTGGAGTAACCTGAAGATGCACCAAAAAAACAGAATCTCACGAAACCTTCTCTTCCCTAGCCATCCTTGGATATTTTCAAGACGTGCTGGACAAGTAGAGCGAAAATTCCAGGCTCCCTTTTTACTTTAAAAAGTCATGGTCAGATACATAATCAGGTAGAAATAAAAACTGGGCATCAAGGTCAGCACTGTCAAAGGGAGAATGCATGGAAAGAGATGAATACAGAGACAGGGTTGTTAAGAGTGACAGGGAAATATGGACATCATGCAGGTTTACTGTTCACACATAGATTATGTCAAGGTGAGCTCACTACACACACTAGCAGATGGGTCAGAGATATGAGAGAGTTAGACAATTATCAAGGTAAGTTTGCTGCATCTCAAGGTAAGCTTCCTGGTTTGTCTTCAGCAAACTCTTGGGAGTATAGTATTGTTAGCTTCAAAACTGGATAGATATCACCACATAGGGTTGACTTAATTCCGACATTCTGTTGCAAAGCAGATCATCTTGGCAACAGCTCAGCCCCAAGGAAATCACGCTTGCCGCTCCCCGAAAAAGGATCGTCACTACTTAGTCATTTGATGTGCAAGCAGTGAGAGATCCAAGGCAGCTCCGAGAGAAAAGGGGGAAATGCTGACTAAAGGCAGGATCAATTATTTTCTCCTGTTCCTCCCAAAATTCAAATTCATTCTTCCTCCTGACAGAATCCTCACTGCATCATCTCTCAATGCAGCTCATTCCTTCTCAAGGCCTGTGCATCTCCTCATTCTTCCCATTGTCCTAGTATGTACAGGCTTTCAAACCCAAGCTTAACAACATTTAAGACTCTGATGTCTCAGTATCTCTCCAAATCTTTCAGCCTGTTGATGTGCTCTACTGTTGATCTTTGGCCTTCATCGAATGACTAAATATTAAAAAGTGCACTTACACAAAGAACAGTCAGTAATGATAGGCAGAAGCTGAGCAGAACAAGTGAGCTGGAGAAAGAATACTGCACATTTACTGGGTAAGCTCTTATAGGTGAGATGATAGGGCTAAGTAGAACAACAGAAGTGAGTGATAGGATAGTTAGATGGGGGACTAAATGTGTGTTGCACACACATTCATACAGGAAGTCAGGTGCACATGACAGGTCCAGGGACAACAAGACAAGTTTACTGACATACTTGCACAGATGAATGAGCCAAAAGTGACATATAAAGAGGTGAACAAAGGCACATGAGGAGTTAATGTAACTTCAGGAAAATATGCTTCAGATCAACAGGAGTCGCATTGCAACGACAGACAGATGGGGTAACAAAGCAGGAATAAGATTCAACTTTCCAACAGATACATTGGTAGAATGACAAACGATGGTTAGAGAAGGGAAGTGCAATTTCTCTGTGCAGGCCAAGTGGCAGAGGCAGGACTGGCAATCAGAGCAAGTAAGTCTCCTATACAGACTCCTACGAATGGGAGTAATGTGATTAATAGAACGAGACATAGATGAATGCTAGATCACTTCTGCTGTACTCTCCTAACAAGTAGAAGTGTTTCCTAACATTTCGCCGACAAAACACAGTCTTTACAGTATATTCTGTGAAGCACTTTGAGACATCTCAAAGACTAAGGCTCTAGATCAAATACAAGGATTATTATCAACAAGTACAGCTGGAGTAAGACAGATGCAAAGGGATAGGCTGAAGCTCCCAACAGCCTGGAAGTGTTAGGAATTATATAGAATCATAGAATATTACAGCACAGAAGGAGGCCATTCAGCCCATTGTGCCTGTGCCAGCTCTTTGAAACAGCTACCAAATAGCCCCACTCTCCGCTCTTACCCCATAGCCCTGCAAATGTTTCCTTTTTATAGAATCTTTCAGCACAGGAGGAGGCCATTCGGCCCAAATCTGTTGTAAGAATGGCAAAATGTTGTCAACATACTAAAGCCACATCTATTTAAGGATGAAGTGCATCAAAATAGGACTGGTTAGCAAGTCTGATGGGGGAGGGGCGGGGGTTTACCAGGTGAAGGGGGGTTGTCACAGTGAATTTGCTGCACAGAACAGACAGATAAGTAGTTATGTCTCAGGGATATTTTGCAAAGTTGTCGAGAGCGAGGAAATGTTAAAAGGGGCATTTATAATTAACAGGAACGACGCAGCTTACAAGACAAATGGTAAACATATGGAACGGTGTTTGAAATGCGTTACACGTCAAATGTAGCAGGTCACGGCTAAACCGGGGCAGGTGGTGGATAAATGGCCGCTTCCTTGCAATGTGGGAATGTGAAAAAGAGAGCAATCGGGAGCGGGACAGGTTACAAAACAGCGTAGACAAGTGCCGAGGAGTGACAAGCGGCAAAAAGGTGCCTTTTTCACAGATCTTTTGAAACAAATATCAGAAGGAGCCGAGTGTGAGTCTCGGCCTGAGACCGTGCAGAGCCGGACCCGGTGCCGCTGACTCGGGGTCTGAGGCACCGGGAGCCGGTTTGGGGGCTTCGTTATTTACCTGCAGAACCACTTCCACGTCGTAGGAGTTGCCTTTACTTTTCTGGTGGCCCCTGAACTTGGAGCCGCTGTAGAGGAGGGTGGTGGCGACCCCGGGCTGCTGGGTGTTGATGGGGGGCGGCGGCACGAGCGAGGAGGACTCGGTGCGGACGGGCATGGCGCGCTGTCACCGCCTGACAGGAGCCGGGAGGGAGGGAGGGGGAGGGGGGGGGGGGAGGGAGGGGAAGAAGGAATAAAGTGGCTAATGAAGAGCTGAAGCACAGAGGAGCCGCTCAGCCGCCGCCACAGCTTCGGCCTCGTTCAGTCCCTGACAACGCGAGATGGCTGCAGCCCTCCCTCCCACTACCGGAGCGCCAGATAGCAACGCCGCTCCCCATTGGTTGGCGGCTGCCGCCGGCACCGACCCAGCAATGATCGGCCTTTCTGATTGGCGGGAGTGTGGGAGGGTGGGGGCGCCCGCCGGGGGTCACGGTCAGGGCGCCCAAACCGCGAGTACGCATGCGTCGAACCAGCTCTGCCTGACCCCCCCCCCCCATCCGCTACTGGGAGTCGTTGTCTTTCCGTCTCCTCGCCGCTTCCTAACTGTGCGCATGCGGAGAAGGTGGGTCTGAAGGAGTCTGGGAGTTGTAGTGTATGTGATGTCACTCTGGCTACATGTGACAAATATTTTGGAAGACACGCAATGTAATGGGTTCATCCAATGAGCCGTCGAATGTCGCTCAAGCCCCTTTTGGTTTAAAAAATGTAAATGATTTGATTATTTCAGTCCAACTTGTTAAATTGTAATCCCTATTTCTGCTGCTGGTTTTGTATAAAATATATATTAACTATGATAATAGCCCCAAAAAATATACGGTCAATTCGTTTTACAGTACATTCTGTGACGCGCTTCGAGACGTCTCGAAGACGTGATGAGGCGCCTTATCAAATATAGGGATTATTATGGTACTGGGTTAGTGCGTGGTACGTCCATCCAATGTGAAAAGTGCTATACAAATGGTTCCGCCATTGTCTCTCACCCCCGGCCGCCAAGACCCTCATCCACACATTAATCACCATCCAGGCTCTACGCAAACTCCCTGCTTGTCGGCCTCCCCAATTCCTCCCTCCATAGACTGCAGATCATCCAGAACTCTTCACACCAGGCTCTGGCGACCCTGCCACCCCATCCTCGCCCGACTCCACTGGCTTCCCATCACACAGAGGATATGGTTCAAGATCCTGGTCCTCAGCTTCAGAGCTCTCCATGGCTTCGCTCCTCCCTACCTTTGTGACCTCCTAAATTGCTGCTAACCTGTCCGCTCCCTCCCGGTCTGTGGGCTCCAGCCTGCATCACATCCCCTGCCATGCCAGCTTCACCATTGGCGGGCGGGCCTTCATTGCCTAATCTCCAATTTCAAGTCATTTCCCATCCAGTATTTAACCAATTCCCCCAAATAATCAAATGAACAAAGAATTCTGGTTGGCTGAAACAGCCGTTAATACATTTTAATTTTTTTGTGAGTGATAGTTTAAACAGATTACAGAGGAGATGAAAAAAGAGAAGTGAAATCTAAACTGGAATCAAACAGGCAACGATTTGGCACCAAACATGTTCTGAGGAAAGAGTCTGTGACATGCCTCAGAGTAAGAGTTCAAAAGCAGAGATAGTATTTGCAATAATAAAGCCCGCACCACATGATTTAATTCCTTCAAAAAATAATAATAAATTGGTCATCCAAAAGGTAGCGTGCAGATGTCGCTCGCAAGGCTCGTACTGTTTCTCCACACCAGTTAAAATTTGTGAAGCATACGCGACTGGCATAATGGTCCCTTGAACATCCTGGCATAAAACTGCTGCTAGACTTTCTGCTGTTCCGGCAACTTCCAAGTGGAAGGACTGATGAGGGTCTGGGTACACCAGACATGTCGCTTGCATAACTACCATTTTCAGCTGTTCAAAGAAGGTTGTATGAACTTCTTCCCAGAGTTGGATGAGATCATCAGAATGCTTTTTGAGTAACTCGTATAGAGGTTTAGCTAGTTTGGCAAACTGAGGATTGAAAGAGCGTTGATATCCAACCAGTCCAAGAAACGATCGTAGCGCTGTTTTGCACACTGGTAGGGGAAGTCATTGAATATTATTAACCTTGTAGCAGTCCGGGGAGCGTCCTTCTGATGATAAATGTACTCTGAGGAAATTAACCTCCGAATGCAGAATTTGAGCTTTGTGTGGGTTCATTTTCAATTTTGATTCATATAAACAAAATTAACAACTTAATGTTTACAATTTTATGCAGCTCTGCCTTAAAGCGTTTCATTACATATATCATATTCTAACAGTAGTGGCGGAGTCGAGCAATGTTACAGAGGTGAGGGAAGGCAGAGCGGGTCATGGCTTCGATGTGGGGAAGAAAAGACAGTTGAGGGTCGAACAAGACACCGAGGTTCCTGACTGGCTTTGGTGAGTTGAAGTGTGTAACCATGGAGGTTGATGCTGCCAGAGCCTGAGGTGCTGAGGCGCTGGCGAGAGCCAATCAGGAGAGCCTCAGTCTTGTTCACATTCAACTGTTGGAAATTTGCCCTCATCCAGGACTTGATGTCCGACAGACAGTCTGTCAGGACATCAGTGGTCCCGGAGTTGAGGGTGGAGGCAGAGAGATAGAGTTGGGTGTCAACCACATACATATGGAAGTTGACCTCGTGTCTGCGGATGATATCACCAAGGGGGAGCATATAGATATTAAAGAGGAGAGGGCCAAGGACAGAGCCCTGGGGGACGCCAGATGTGACAGTGCGGGGGCTGGAGGAGAAACTGTTAGAAGCAACTTTTCTACAGTTGAATGTGAACAAGACTTGCAGACATGATAAGGCGCTATATCAAATGCAAGGAATATTATTATTATTATTATTATCCAATAAAGCTTTCAGCAGTTCTTTTCCATTCTAACATTCTTATTAAGATTTGAGATTATAATGTGTGTGCAAATGTTTTAGAGGTAATAACGTGTGTGAATGTGTGTATGTGTCTATATATATATGTACATGTATGTGTTCATATGTGGATCTGAGCATTTGTATACCTAAGTGTGTACCTTTAAGAGGTTTCCTGTCACTGTTCTCCATCAGGGAACAGATATATGGGCTTTGGGTAACCAAAGAGGGTAAAGTCAGGTTTGTAAAGTTGATATAACTTTTCCCTCCAAGGTTTTGGAATGATCTTGAACCATTGCTCCACGTAGCTGGTGGTTGTTTGGTTTGGATATTTGGATGGGAATTCAAAATATTTTTCTGCATTTAGGAGTTGGAGCAAGTAAGCGGTGTCTTCATCCAATGTCTCTAATTTACCAATAAAATCATACTTGATATGACACGGGTGACAGAGCCGGTACATCTGGCGCCAGTGGTCATCAAAAGCAATCTCCTTCTCAGTTTGGGTATCCAACAAATACTGGACAAAATGAGAGAAGGTGGGTTTGACGCCCTCTTCTTCTGCTTTCTCAGCAGAAATGGGAGGGTGGGAGATATTTCCATACATCTTGAGCATCCTGAATGAATAAGGGTAGAATACTTTGTTTACACGTGCAATCTTATCTCGGAATGCAGAAATCAGCCTGACAAAGGGATCTCGCACAAATAGAAACTTCTTGTAATCCTTCAGCTTGTTGAGAACCGTGTCTCTGTTTACTTTTCTTTGCAGTCTGGTGAAGTAATTATGGACAAAATCTTGGTTGATACTTTCTGGTTCGTGAAATCCTAAATTGTTATTCAGCACAAAGAGGACTCGCTTCCACTGCGTACAGGCCACTTTGGGAACAAAACAGTAGATCACCTTGAGTTTGTCGATTACAATTAAATTCCTAAACTCTTTGTTTGGAATTTTGGTAAAGTTGCGACTTTTCCCTGGGAAGCTATATTCAGAATCTGTGCACAGATCCTCTAGTCTTTTCCTCCTTTCTTCCTGCACCTGTCTTGGAGCGGCTTTGGACCTGGCAACTCTGAGGTAGAAGGCATGAATATCTGAGATCGCACTCTTGGGCATATCTCCCATCCTTCCTGGAAACAAGTATAGAATAGCCAGCATAACAATGACCAGGAAGCCGAAATGACAGAATCTTACTTGTCGCATTTTTCCACTTAATCAGATGATACGTCCAATGACAAAATCTTCAAATGGACAGTTCTTCCACCTTTAAACCAAAAACATAATGACACATGAGCTGATAGGAGCTGATAAATATCCCAAATAACACCGTAGATTTCATCAATCCAATTGCCTCCATAATCCCAATTCACACCCCTCTGCCCCCACTCCCTACAACCCCTTCCCGGAGTCCCTTTGCCTTGCCCCTTTCCTCCTTCAAGGTCCATCTCGAGGCCTTCCTCTTTCACCATGTCTTCGGTCATCTTTCCACTCCTGCCCCATTGCCCACCACCCTTCTTAATCCAAGCCCCAGCTGAGGTGCAAAACATCAACTGTCCAGCGTCGTGGGATGCCCTTCTGACTTGAAAGGTGCTATATAAGGGCAATTATTTGTTAATGTATCATTTCTCTCTATGTCTCTTGAACTCTCATCCATTGACACCCATATTTGTGAATATGATGGACAGAAATAGTTGCTGACTGTGGATTGACTGACTCAACAAATGACATATCTGACACATGAAGTAAAACTCGAATCATCAGGAACAGTGGACAAACAGCTCCTACTGTATGGGGAGCATTGGTATGAGTCTCCTCTATCACTTTACTGTAACTTCCTCTATCACTTTGCTGTTTACTTATGCCCACAAAATACACAGTCAATCCACTTTGCAGTATATAATAATCCTTGCATTTGATATAGCGCTTTTCAGATCTTCTAGAAGTCTCAAAGCGCTTCATAGAATAGACTGTAAAGTGAACTGACTGTATATTTGTGGGCGAAATGCGGCAGCCAATTGCGCACAGCAATGTCTCACAAACAGTCGTGGATTGAAATGACCAATTTATTATTGGTTATTTTTGAGGGATTATTATCAGGCATGTGGAGTAAGGAAACTTGCCCAAGGTATCGCCCTGCCGGGAATCAAATACAGGTCTCTCGCTTGCAAATGAGTGCACTAACCACTGAGCTACAGGACTCCAGAACTAAAAACAAGCTCACAGGTATATTCTGTGAAGTGCTTTGAGGCATCTGTAGGATGTGATAAGGTATCAATGGATGAGAGTTCAAGTGAGATAGAGAAAAATATATAAATTAACAGCAACAAATTGCACTTATAAAGCACCTTATCAAGGAAATTATTATTATTGTTATTACAGAGCAGGTCACTTGACAACATGACAGAATAGAAAGTTTTAAATCCAAATTTGCAGAAGGCAAAGTTAGGAGGCACAGTAAATTGTTAGAGATGGGAGCAGGAAGTTACAAGGGATTTAGACAGATTAAGTGAGTGCGCAAAACTGTGGCAGATGGAATTTATTTTGGAAGGTGTGAGTCATCCACTATGGATCCAAAAATGACAAAATAGAATATTTTCTAAATGGGGAGAAATTAAAAACTGTGGAAAAGCAAAGGGATTTGGGTGTCCACGTATACAAATCACTAAAAACAAGCTCAACAGGTACACAAAGTTATCAAAAGTTTATGAAATGTTGGCCTTTATCTCAAGGGGGGTGGATTATGAAGGAGAGGAACTGATGCTTCAACTATATAGAGCTTTGGTCAGACCTCATCTGGAGCCTGTGATCAGTTTTGGACACCGCACCTCAGATTCACCAGAATGATTACATGGTTAAATTGGGAGGACGGGTTGCGCAATTTCCTCCAGGGTTGAAGGTTGATTTGCTGTAATAAATCCAAATTGTTAATTGCTCTTTCTATTTCTGGTGAAAATAGATCGAACGATAATCGTTCCCCTTTCGTTTCGTGATCATTTTCACCAATTTCGCATCAGATTTACATTCGATTGAGTAAATATTTCCAAGGAAGCAATGAGATCTTCAGACTTAGTCTCATGCCTGGACCTCTCTGGCTGCTTGGATTGTAGTCATTTGTTCTATTCTGGAAACTTTTCCCTGTTGCCACTCTCACAGTTCACAAGTCTCACTCGTTACACATCACCTGCAGCTTCCAACCCGGATTTGCATTGTTTTGTGGTTAAAAAACACACACACACACACACAAGTCTTATTCTTTTGGGAGAGCATCGAGTTCAGGTTAGCGTTTGGAAGAAAGAGATCGTCACTTTCCTGGCAACTCAACCTGAGCCCATGGATCAGCCGCGACCGAGCAACAACCAAACCAGATGGGAGTAAAAGATTTATTTTGTTTATTACCTGAAATATCTCAAACCGGGACTGAACCGTGTGGATCGGGAGCGGCGCTGGAACCGGAGATGGTGACTGTGTTTGTCGTCAAATGGGTGATAGACGTGGTATTGTGTTGAGTGGGAGCGGCAATACCTCTCCCACCTGCGGATTCCGGATGTTATCTGATTACTTGTGTCAGTGGGGAGTGTGGGTTGGGCTGGAGCTGATGGTTGGCATTGGAGGCTGAGCCTGAGGGTTGGAGCTGAGGGTTGGGGGTGGGGGGCTGGGGGCTGGAGGTGGGGGCTGGGGGCTGGAGGTGGAGCTGGGGGTTGGGGGCTGGAGGTTGGAGGTGGGGGCTGGGGTTGGGGGCTGGAGGTTGGAGGTGGGGGCTGGAGATTGGGGGCTGGAAGTTGGGGCTGGAGATTGGGGGCTGGAGGTTGGAGGTGGGGGCTGGAGGTTGGAGGTGGGGGCTGGAGGTTGGGGCTGCAGGTTGGAGGTGGGGGCTGGAGATTGGGGGCTGGAGGTTGGAGGTGGGGGCTGGGGGTTGGGGGCTGGAGGTTGGAGGTGGGGGCTGGAGATTGGGGGCTGGAGGTTGGAGCTGGAGATTGGGGGCTGGAGGTTGGAGGTTGGGGGCTGGAGGTTGGAGGTGGGGGCTGGAGGTTGGGGTGGGGGCTGGAGGTTGGGGGCTGGAGGTTGGAGGTGGGGGCTGGAGGTTGGGGCTGGAGGTTGGTGGGGGCTGGAGATTGGGGGCTGGAGGTTGAGGCTGGGGCTGGAGGTTGAGGGTGGAGGTTGGGGCTGGAGGTTGAGGCTGGGCTGGAGGTTGGAGGTTGGGGCTGGAGGTTGGGGGCTGGAGGTTGGAGGTGGGGGCTGGGGGCTGGATGTTGGAGGTGGGGGCTGGAGGTGGGGGCTGGGGTTGGGGGCTGGAGGTTGGAGGTGGGGGCTGGAGATTGGGGGCTGGAGGTTGGAGGTGGGGGCTGGAGATTGGGGTTGGAGGTGGGGGCTGGAGGTTGGAGGTGGGGCTGGAGGTTGGGGGCTGGAGGTTGGGGGCTGGAGGTTGGAGGTGGGGGTTGGAGGTTGGGGGCTGGAGGTTGGAGGTGGGGCTGGAGGTTGGAGGTGGAGGTTGGGGGCTGGAGGTTGGGGGCTGGAGGTTGGGGTGGGGGCTGGAGGTTGGGGGCTGGAGGTTGGAGGTTGGGGGCTGGAGATTGGGGTTGGAGGTTGGGGGCTGGAGGTTGGAGGTGGAGGTTGGGGGCTGGAGGTTGGGGGCTGGAGGTTGGAGGTTGGGGGCTGGGGGTTGGAGGTGGGGGCTGGAGGTTGGAGGTGGGGCTGGGGTTGGAGGTGGGGGCTGGAGGTTGGAGGTGGGGGCTGGAGGTTGGGGATTGACATTGACATTCCACCTCTGAGAGTTGGACAGCAGTGTTAACAAACATTACCTGGAGTGTGCGTTTGTGGTTGGGGCTGGGGGTTGGGATTGGAGGCTGGAGGTTGGGGATTGGAGGCTGAGGGTTGGAGGTTGGGATCTGGGGTTGGAGGTTGGGATTGGGGCTGGAGGTTGGGATGGGGGGCTGGGGGTTGGAGGTTGGGATAGGGGGCTGGGGGTTGGGGGTTTGGACACCAGAGCCCCAGGCGTGGGGCTTGGGAGACATCACCCTTCAAATGGGTGGAGTGGGCGGCACAGGCACAACACATTCCTGAATCGTTTCTTCTCAGTGGAAAATCCACAGTATTTTTTTGTTAAAAACAGGTATTTTTTGTTACAACAGAGCCGGATAATTAAGATAGCAATTCATCTCTTTGAGGTGTGGTGTTGCTGAGCGGTGCAGTGGGTCTCTGGCTCTCCCGAGTGACAACTCCAAGACCACGTAGCAGCGATTTTATCCACAATCTCTTCACTCTTCGCTGACGAACAAGATCTTAAAAATCACGTTTTTTTTAAAAAATGGTTATTTAGGTGATAGAGACGTAATATTGAATGCAAGGACTATTATATTATCATTAAGATCTATTTCTTCCACTGTTTCCAGCCACCTCCACCCCCCCCCAACACATGTGTCCACATTGGGAAGCCATCATCAGACTTGAGTATCCAAACCAGATTGACATTCCACCTCTGAGAGTTGGACAGCAGTGTTAACAAACATTACCTGGAGTGTGCGTTTGTGGTTGGGGCTGGGGGTTGGGATTGGAGGCTGGGGATTGGAGGCTGAGGGTTGGAGGTTGGGATCTGGGGTTGGAGGTTGGGATTGGGGGCTGGGGGTTGGAGGTTGGGATTGGAGGCTGGGGGTTGGAGGTTGGGGTTGGGGGCTGGAGGTTGGGATGGGGGGCTGGGATTGGAGGTTGGGATTGGAGGCTGGGTGTTGGAGGTTCGGATGGGGGGTTGGAGGCTGGGGATTGGAGGCTGAGGGTTGGAGGTTGGGATCAGGGGTTGGAGGTTGGGATTGGGGGCTGGGGGTTGGAGGTTGGGATTGGAGGCTGGGGGTTGGAGGTTGGGGGCTGGAGGTTGGGATGGGGTTGGGATGGGGGGCTGGGGGTTGGAGGTTGGGATGGTGGGTTGGAGGTTGGGATGGGGGGCTGGGGGTTGGGATGGGGGGCTGGGGGTTGGAGGTTGGAGGTTGGAATGGGGGGCTGGGGGTTGGAGGTTGGGATGGGGGGCTGGGGGTTGGAGGTTGGGATTGGAGGCTGGGGGTTGGGATGGGGGGCTGGGGATTCGAGGTTGGGATTGGAGGCTGGGTGTTGGGAGGTTGGGATGGGGGCTGGGGTTGGGATTGGGGGCTGGGGGTTGGGATGGGGGGCTGGGGGTTGGAGGCTGGGGGTTGGAGGTTGGGATGGGGGGCTGGGGTTGGAGGTTGGGATGGGGGCTGGGGGTTGGAGGTTGGGATGGGGGGCTGGTGGTTGGAGGTTGGGATGGGGGGCTGGTGGTTGGAGGTTGGGTTGGGGGCTGGGGGTTGGAATGGGGGCTGGGGGTTGGGATTGGGGGCTGGAGGTTGGGATGGGGGGCTGGGGGTTGGAGGCTGGGGGGGGTTGGAGGCTGGGGGCGGTTGGAGGCTGGGGGGGGTTGGAGGTTGAGATGGGGGCTGGGGGTTGGAGGTTGGGATGGGGGCTGGTGGTTGGAGGCTGGGGGTTGGAGGTTGGTAGGGGGTTGGGGTGGGGGCTGGTGGTTGGGTGTTGGGATGGGGGGCTGGGGGTTGGAGGTTGGGATGGGGCGCTGGAGGTTGGGATTGGGGGCTGGTGGTTGGAGGTTGGGATTGGGGGCTGGGGTTTGGAGGCTGGGGGTTTGGAGGTTGGGATGGGGGGCTGGTGGTTGGAATGGGGGTTGGAGGTTGGGATGGGGCGCTGGGGGTTGGGATGGAGGGCTGGGGGTTGGAGGTTGGGATGGGGGCTGGGGGTTGGGATGGGGGCTGGTGGTTGGAGGTTAGGATGGGGGTTGGAGGTTGGGATGGGGGGCTGGGGGTTGGGATGGGGGGCTGGGGGTTGGGATGGGGGGCTGGGGTTTGGGATGGGGGCTGGGGTTGGAGGTTGGGATGGGGGGTTGGTGGTTGAGATGGGGGGCTGTCGGTTGGGATGGGGGGTTGGAGGTTGGGCTGGGGCTGGGAGTTGGGATGGGGGGGTTGGGATGGGGGGCTGGGGGTTGGGATGGGGGCTGGGGGTTGGAGGTTGGGATGGGGGCTGGGGGTTGGGATGGGGGGCTGGGGGTTGGAGGTTGGGATGGGGGGCTGGGGGTTGGAATGGGGGCTGGGGGTTGGGATGGGGGCTGGGGGTTGGAGGTTGGGATGGGGGGCTGGGGGTTGGGATGGGGGGCTGGGGGTTGGGATGGGGGCTGGGGGTTGGAGTTGGGATGGGGGCTGGGGGTTGGGATGGGGGCTGGGGTTGGGATGGGGGCTGGGGGTTGGGATGGGGGGCTGGGGGTTGGGGGATGGGGGGCTGGGGGTTGGATGGGGTTGGGTTGGATGGGGCTGGGGGTTGGGATGGGGGGTTGGAGGTTGGGATGGGGGCTGGGGGTTGGGATGGGGGGCTGGGGGTTGGGATGGGGGGCTGGGGGTTGGGATGGGGGGCTGGGGGTTGGTTCGACGCATGCGTACCGCGAGTACGCATGCGTCGAACCAGCTCTGCCTGACCCCCCCCCCCCATCCGCTACTGGGAGTCGTTGTCTTTCCGTCTCCTCGCCGCTTCCTAACTGTGCGCATGCGGAGAAGGTGGGTCTGAAGGAGTCTGGGAGTTGTAGTGTATGTGATGTCACTCTGGCTACATGTGACAAATATTTTGGAAGACACGCAATGTAATGGGTTCATCCAATGAACCGTCGAATGTCGCTCAAGACCCTTTTGGTTTAAAAAATGTAAATGATTTGATTATTTCAGTCCAACTTGTTAAATTGTAATCCCTATTTCTGCTGCTGGTTTTGTATAAAATATATATTAACTATGATAATAGCCCCAAAAAATATACGGTCAATTCGCTTTACAGTACATTCTGTGACGCGCTTCGAGACGTCTCGAAGACGTGATGAGGCGCCTTATCAAATATAGGGATTATTATGGTACTGGGTTAGTGCGTGGTACGTCCATTCAACGTGAAAAGTGCTATACAAATGGTTCCGCCATTGTCTCTCACCCCCGGCCGCCAAGACCCTCATCCACACATTAATCACCATCCAGGCTCTACGCAAACTCCCTGCTTGTCGGCCTCCCCAATTCCTCCCTCCATAGGCTGCAGATCATCCAGAACTCTTCACACCAGGCTCTGGCGACCCTGCCACCCCATCCTCGCCCGACTCCACTGGCTTCCCATCACACAGAGGATATGGTTCAAGATCCTGGTCCTCAGCTTCAGAGCTCTCCATGGCTTCGCTCCTCCCTACCTTTGTGACCTCCTAAATTGCTACTAACCTGTCCGCTCCTCCCGGTCTGTGGGCTCCAGCCTGCATCACATCCCCTGCCATGCCAGCTTCACCATTGGCGGGCGGGCCTTCATTGCCTAATCTCCAATTTCAAGTCATTTCCCATCCAGTATTTAACCAATTCCCCCAAATAATCAAATGAACAAAGAATTCTGGTTGGCTGAAACAGCCGTTAATACATTTTAATTTTTTTTGTGAGTGATAGTTTAAACAGATTACAGAGGAGATGAAAAAAGAGAAGTGAAATCTAAACTGGAATCAAACAGGCAACGATTTGGCACCAAACATGTTCTGAGGAAAGAGTCTGTGACATGCCTCAGAGTAAGAGTTCAAAAGCAGAGATAGTATTTGCAATAATAA